CTTACCCTTCCAGAAGGAGGTGTAGCCAGACCCCCGTTGTGTGAGTTGGCCCTCATCTGGGAGGAGCCGGGACTCACTGATGGCTGCTATGTCGATATTATACCTAGCCATCTCTTTTGCCACAAAGGCAGTTCTTCTTTCAGGACGCACATTTTTGCAAGTATCCAGAAGTGTCTTGACATTCCGTGTAGCGACCATACGATGTTTTATGGTTTGTTTTTGTTTGGATCTGTGATTTTGGTTGTGTTTTTGGCCGCATAAGGATGACCTTATTGGGTGCAATTGCCCAGTGAGGTTGGGTTTTTAGGCAGGCTATGTTTAGGGCACCTTTTCTAGCCCCCTCCCCATGTGGGGTGAGCAGAGTGGCTCCCCGAAAGGGCTACTTAGTCGCACAGACCTGACCGGATTGCATTGTTGCCTAGATCCCATCTTATCTGTGCTGCCTATGTGCAGAGTTGTGACTAGAGACTCCCGGCATAGGACTTTTGGGGGTATAGGGGTTTTGATGATGATGAGAGGTATGATGAGCTGGATGATGGCTGTGTGGGAGTTGATTTACGTGTGGTGAGGCAGGAGCGCAGGCTGCAACCACACATCTTGGCTTTCCCTTTTCCTGATCCAGTGATGCAAGTGTTGCAACGACTTGGGAGAGGGAGAGTCGCAATGGACTGTTGATAGCCCAGTTTGTTGGGTTTTGCCTAAGTAGCCTGTCCATCAGTCATTGCCTTCGTCCGCCAGTGTAGTCGTTGGGATGCCATGGTGGTCACCTCTTCCGTCTACACCGCCGTTGGGGTCTTGTTGGAGCTCTGTAAGCATGTCTGCCTGATGCGGGGCTCCACCGCTAGGCAGCGGGGCTGTAGTTGGTAGGCGCCAGGATGTGTCCACATGCCAGTTGCCAGTGGGCCTATGCGCCGTCCCTCTGGAGCCCACTGCTACTCCGAGATCACGTGCTCATCTAGCCTGGGCCCACGATGGACCCAGTTACCGTGTGTTGCCACGAGGAGGCACAGCAGGAGTCTTGATGGTGAGGAGGCTGTGTATCGGCAGGGGAAGACTTTATGCAAGTTGCTTCCCTGTTCTCCACGGCGGCAGCTGAAAGCGAGAGGGAGCAAGCAGTGCTTGCACTTTTACACTAACATAATGCTGCCACTCTAGACGCATTTCACCACCCTGTGTGAGGCTAAAACACACACACACACACACACACACATATATATATATATATATATATATATATATATATATATATATATATATATATATATATATATATATATATATGTGTATATATATATATATACATATATATATATACTGTATATATGGAAAAATAGTTTGCTACAAGTAGTAAGTTGATGTACTACTTTGTTTAATAAAATTGCATGGTAAGTAGGCACTTAAAGATCACATTGCATTAAGTAGACATTGTAACTTTGTAATGCTTATTTTCCGTAGTAAAATAATGATCCATCCACTAACATACTGTCGCCTCCCTAAATCAGAATCACTTAATCGGATTACTTCTGATTGTATATGTAATGTCTAGATAATTTTTTACAGCATCTTGTGATGACCGAGAGTATAGTAGTGAACCATGCATGACCTGTATCTTTCTCACCGTATAATTCGTGAGAGAACTAATTTAAGTGAAAACAATGAATGTGCAAAACTTATACCGAAGTTAAGCCATACCATTTGATTAAGACTAAATGCTTATAGTTATCTGTCATAATGGAGTGTAGATAAATACAGTGCCAGGTAATTTAAATCCACTGTATCTCAGATTTAACTTACACCACGGTCCAGGCTCCAGCCAACGTTACCGCGCCTCCAGTACTTTTACTCTCATGTGATATGATTAGATACAAGGAGATCAAGGTGCATTAGTTATTAACTTTAACTTCTAATGCTATAAATATCTCTGGTAAAGGAGTGAATAGCTTAATAAAAAAAATAATTATAATATGAAAATCAAATGAGTGTAATTTGTAGAGGTAATTTATACTACAGTGGTAATGTAAATTTACTAAACCCATAAACACCAGTTGCTGTCATCTATGTTTTAGAGTAGTACTAATATTTTTTTAGGCATCTTTTCCTCCTGCATACTACAGTACAAGCCTTTGCTATTTTGGTGCAGGAAGACCAGAGAGGTATTGGTCTTCTGATACTTGACACAGTCCCTCCCTTGACACAATGCTAGTCCACGAAGAGTTGTTCCACCCCGACAGTGTATATTAGAGAGCATTATACACATATTCTATTTAACTTCAGCTTTATGTACTCCATCATCGTGATTCATGGTGCTGTTGAAGATTGCTCACTCATACAAGAAACATTGTTTGACTGTTTAAGTCTTGCTAACTGATTCTTCATCAACATGTTTATATGACACGTGACTCAGGTGTTACATTAACACAATATTTGTCCTGGCTAACACTTCCTTTCAGACTCAAATCAACAATCTTTATCACAATATGTCTATGTAATCCAATAAATATAATGTTTCGTTATTTGTGGGACTGTTCTCATCAACAAATTCTTATTTCATCATAACGAAAAACAACATTGATGTTAAGTGACTCGAGAATGGTGGACACATTGCATATTAACACTTTATCATATGGTAATACTAAAATATTCTCCATATGATTTTTCTTATTGTCACGGCTGAAGTGATATCTAATAGCTCTCCAAAGGCAGTTATCAACAAAAGTACCCGAATAGCATTATTTTTAGCAATGTTGAATGTCATGGGTTACATGATGCATAAATTCTGAGTTACAAGTTCCCAATACTACTGTAAATGGAACGATCCTCAGAAAGTGAACTTCTTGAATCCTGATGTTTATTAAATTTAATAATAAAAAAATCTCAACTTGGATCTGTTTCTTATAGATAATGAACACGATAAACCAAACTACGAGTTATTTTAAATAATGTCATATAAAATCTAGAGAGTAAGAAAAACAAGTTACCCTGTTACCGTTACTATACCCTCAGTGTCGTCCACCTCACATAGTTCAAACATTATGAGAAAAATACCACGACTTATTAACAGGTCAAGTCTATGTAGCTCATCCTTTCAGAAATTTAAAAGATTATGCACCGATATAGCTTTTTTTAAGTTTATTAATTAAATCAACGATGATCTTCATGCAAAATTTCGACTTAGCCTTACACGGCGCAGTATTATCTCTTAGTTTTATTGTTGTTGGACTTGTGTACTGCTAACCTTGTTATGCGCTTGAAGACCCTCGTTGTTGAAGCAGTAATAACATTATAACAACAATATATACATGAGTACCAAGTGGGTCGACATTTTCACAGGTTGTTTAGGCAGCTTACAACTTACTGTACGGAAGTGAGAGACTAACTGACTTCGATAAATCTTGTTTGCATTTAAGAAACGATTGTTGGTGATCTTGGCACCGTCTTCCATAGAAAGATGATTCATCACTTACAGGCCTTATTCTTCACAAGTCAACAATGATATCCTTAGTGGATTATCAGCTTAGATGATGTGAGGTTTTATAGTCAGTTTTTAAATTCAAAATACCAGCACAAGTCTGTAACAGTATGAATACAGAATATATAGATATAAAAATATATTTATTTAATTGTTAAAAAACAGTGCTGTCCGAACACTAGTGTTAATATTTATCTTAAAATAAATATAAAAAAGCATTAAAGTTACATATAATAATTCATATATGGGAACTTGTTAACTAGGATAGTTCCATATATAATGAAACAGATTGTATTTGTTTTGTTACACATAAAGTTTGTTATAAAGATTATGTTGATCAAGCTGGCCAAAGTCTGAGTGAGAGTGTTACCTGTAAATAGACACCATCACGTAAAAGTCAGAATACAAACTATGAATGAACAACATCATTACAAACCTAACTTAGTTTAGCTATACAGTACTTTGGTGTTGTTATGACTGGAAATAACGTCTTAATTGTTACAGACCAAATTTTATCATATTTCAACTAATTTCCAATATGTTATATCACGATAAATATTACCCATATTTAATAAAACACTTCGGCTGCGTTGACAGGTTTAATGAGACGATTACCACTGAAAAGCGAATATATATGTAAAATAAATGACATTAAATGCTAGGCCACGGTTTGGTCAGGTTAGGTTAGGTTAGACTAGGTTAGGTTGGCATTTAATGTCATTAGAGAAAAAGGCCAGCAGTTGAACACCTAAGCGACAGGTTGTTGTGGAAAGGAAACGTAAATATGTCTATGACTGGTGCTCGCTGAGCCAAGTAGCTCAAGACACTAAGTTACTGCCTGAAAGTATCTTACCTCCAGAAGGTCCACAAGTGAAGTAACATCACAGATGAACAAGGCTCCAGAAATAATACTTAACATAACCTTTAGTGTCTGAATAATTGTTACTTCGATCCATCCATCCAAGAGTATAAGAACACAAGAAGGAGTTTTAAATATTTCCCTCGGTGATAGTGACTGTCAGCTTGTGCTTGTAGATTATTTTAGTATTTATTGTAGTTTGATCTGCCATTAATACAAGCATGATCCGTTTTTATTATTTACTCTCAGACACACAAAATAATGCTTATAGCGAGGCTCACTAACGTATCTCGTATTATATATTAGATGTTCTAAAGTTAGTTAGCTATATAACATGGCACTTGTATATAAATAAATAAATAAATCATATGTGCATAAACGTGTACTAATGTCTAACTATCAAATCTTACTAAAGGGGCTTTAGATATGTATCTACGCAGGTGTGTTAAGTACCAGGTGCATAACGGTGTATGGGCTGCACAGAATAGTCGTCCAGTACATACTTAACTTTTGAATGACGTCCACGGAGAACCTGGATCGTACTCTTCCTGTATACATGTAACGCTGTAGTGCTGGGGACTAAAAATAATAATGATAATAACCAAATAAAAAAATAACAGTGCTGTAACACATATAAGATGTGGGTATACTAAGCCAGTGTTCTCGCCACAGCGGTGACTTCGTTACGGATGTGGAATGGAAGGCGCCCAACGGCTCCAGGTGAGTAGCATGTCGGGAACCCGGGCACATTAGCTCCTCCCACTCTAACTCAGCCCAAGATGCAGTAATCGGATAAGGTTGTAGAGTAAAACGAAATGACAAGAGTCCAGTCGAGTTATAAATATTATGCAAGCTTACAGTGATTAGTTTAGGTAATATACTGTAAGTATAGGTATCAAACAGGAGATGCACAAGAAAACCAATAGAACTGTGCAGAACGAAACATTGTCAAGCAAGACCACAGGACTTATAAAAGCCAAGGAGACCCAGTCAAGATCATAATATAGTTCAGGTAAGTATATCGTGCAGAGGGTCGAGGATGTAGTCAGAGCCTTACATTTTATGCCAACTGTAGGAGTTATGAAACGCCACAGAGGTTTAGTCAATAATATTTGTAGAAGATAGGCGAGGTCGTTTGTGTTTAAGAAGGTAATTGAACCATACTTGGGTTAGTTAAGATCAGGAGAAAGTGACTATTAATAATAAGACAGGTAAAATTAAACAGTCACATTTGACAGAAGATACCGAGCTGGAGGCAGGTGACAGAGGTACAGGTGTTAGTGATGAGGAATAGTAGTACGAGTTACAAAAGTTCGTGGGATCAAACCCGCTAAAGGCTGTGGGAGATAATTTGTATTTATTGTATCAACTGGTAAGTTTCAAACAAAACACAAGGATCATAAAAACTAAAGAAATTAAACCAGCCTAAAACATTCAAGGAACATTTTAGGGATTGCTAAATGAAGATGGTCCATTTAGCTAACGTCTGTCTGTTGGGTTAAGGTAAGGAAGTCACTCGATCATGTAATACTTCAGGAATCAGGTAAGATCTTATTGACAAAGTCCAATCAGTCAAAAAGCTTTCTGAGAACAGCTGTATGTAACGACTTACTAACACGTGTATGTTGTTGTCTAAGGGGAAGTTATGGCTCATTTCTCATATCCAACAAAGTAACAACAAATCCAAAAGCATTAGAGAGAAATGAGAATGTGGATACGAGAGATGCGCACCTCTTCCTCCGTTGCTTGTAACTAACAGTGAGTGTGGCTGAACCCAGTGTGTACTCAGCTCCTGGGCCCCACATACACCCGCCTCTAACATGCCTCTGTAAATTATAAAGGTTTATTTGCTAATAGAGAGTAGCATTATTATTGTTATATATTGCAAGATGTGCACATTATACGGTGTGTAGTTATTGCACTGTGTTCAGAATCTATCACAATCAAATCCTCAAAATGATTAAGATGAATTTGTGCATTTGAAATACTGATTTAAACAATATTGCCAACATGAATAAAGTTGTGTAGAAGAGGAGACAGCACGTAGTGGTAAGACTGAGGGAGAATACAGTGGTGCATCATGATGACTGTCGACACACCACCACCAATGCTACATCTAGTATGATTCTTTAATAGGATAATAAATAATTAAAAAATAATAACTATCAATGCACATGATTTATTCTATGCCTGTTTTTTCCTTGCATGAATTTTAAACTGCAAAAATGTTAAATGTGGTGTTGGGTTGCACAATAATTCTCTGACTTTCCTTTCTTCCTATTGGTAATGGTTTTTATTATTTAAACTGGAATTGCAATTTTCATTGATGAATTATTTTAGAACATTTTGTCAGATAAATATACATCAGTAACAAAACAATTTTACTTTCTTTATTAACCACAATATGTAAGCTTGAGACTCTTGTAAACGGTATATCTCACTCGCTATTTTGCTACACAGCTTCATCGGTACGACGCCGCTCACCGCCACAGCTCCCATGCCGGGCTGTTACATGAGAATCTTCTCCGGGTCGCCAACAGACAAATCTGTAGCCGAGAACGTACGTATCGGCGACCCTCTCACTATGGTGATCTCCCTCGACGACCAGGAGATCTACGGCATGAAGGTCACCGACTGCCTCGTGAGGGATGGCCTAGGATGGGGAGAACAGATGCTTATAAACAAAGATGGGTAAGTTACACGCTTTCATATTTTCTCTCTAACAAGCCTTTTCCCACTTATTGGAGAACCCCCAGAAACGAGCAAAGAGACGCCCTCACACAGCCTCCTAAAATATGTTGTCATTCATTCAATCTTACTGCTGTAAAAGATGACTTCATGCTTCCATAACCAGGCTTTACACAAGTCAGCATCACCATAACCAGGCTTTACACAAATCAGCATCTCCATAACCAGGCTTTACACAAGTCAGCATCACCATAACCTTAGGACTAGGGTATGTTTTCCTGGGGCTGGGATAGGGCATGTAGCTGAGAGGATAGATAGGGTTTTGTCAGGGGAAGGTACCAATCCAGTAGTGAGTCTTAGTGTGGGAGGTAACGACATAGGAAAGGTTAGGAGTGAGGAACTTTTCAAGAGGAATAGGGAGGCGCTAGGGAAGGTTAGAGATAGGGGAGGGATCCCAATAGTATGTGATGTCTTGCCTAGAAGAGGAGTTGGTCGTGAATGGCTATCCAGGGCAATTGCTATAAATTACCGACTAGAAAAACATTGTGCAAGCAATGGTTGGGCATTCATTGATTGCTGGCAACCATTCTATGGCAACGACAACTGTACAGTCATGACGAAGTGCACTTGTCTCGCGCGGGGGTAAAGACGTTGTCTGCATCCCTGGAGCGTGAAATTGTCACTCCAAAATGGGGGTTTCGCCAATAGAGAGAGGTCGGGGTAAATGGGAGTCAAAAAACAAGTAGGTCCTGGGGAGTAAAATTGGTTACTCAGGACAAGGGGTAAAACAGGACCAGGGAAGGGTAGGTTTAAATGTTTACTGTACAAACAGTAGGAGCGTTAGAAATAAAATAGACTTGCTGGGAGCGGTTGTATGTACAGAGAATGTACCTGTAGACGTCATAGCAATCACCGAAACTTGGATCAATCTAGCGAGCAAGCACTCTTTATCAGAGTACCACATACAGTAGAAGGGTACAACCTTTTTCACAAGGACAGGGAAGGTAGGAGGGGCGGAGGGGTCGCACTTTTCGTCAGGGATACATTAAAATGTTGTATTACTAATTCAATAAAGGGTGAAATTGGAACCGAGTCTGTATGGGTAGAAATTGCGGAAGGAAGAGAAAAACTAATTATGAAAGTGATTTACAGGCCTCCAAGTCTTGGGAAAGAAGCAGCTCAGCCCATATGGCAGGAAATGAGTAGGGCAGCAAAATACAACAACCTATGCATTATGGGAGATTTCAACTTCAGAAATATTGACTGGGACAACATTGTAAGTGACTATTAATCTGAAGACTTCCTAGATGCAGTACAGGAAAAATTTTTGAAACAACTAATTACAGAACCTACTAGAGGTGATAATATATTAGACCTAGTATTAACAAATAAAGAAAATATTATCAGAGATATCACAATAGGGGAAGAACTAGGGAACAGTGATCACAGAGAAATCAGGTTCACCCTAAATTTGGAAACGAAAAACAATGACAATATGGTCAGAGTCCCAAACTTTCGATTGGCGGATTATCAGGGGTTAAGAATGTACCTAGGTGAGGTCGCCTGGGAACAGGGAGCAGTCAGGTCAGTCCCCAGTAGGAAAAGGGTGAGGTCGCAGGTGACACAACAATTGATCATGAGTATAATATATTCACTTGTATACTTCGTAAAGCACAAGGACAAAATATACCATACGGAAGAATTGGGTCAAATAAGAATGAGCCAAGGTGGATGACCAAAATACTTAAACATGACATAGGAATAAAGAAAGGAATTTATAAGAAACAAGCAGAATCGCCACCCTCTGGGCGGCTCATCCACTAAGGCAACGGTAGGACGCCACCCTCTGGGAGGCTCCACAATGTCTCATTGTTCAGTCCCCAAAACTTCTTCTTCCGTCAATAGTTCATTAACGGTGTATGCAAGTTCCATCATGCTTTTTCACTACAACGGTACAGATAAGTATATGTTTTTAGTACTAAACTGTTATTATTTTATTGTTTAATCATCACTACATAAAACACTACCCATCATCACTACATACAACATCATCCATCATCACTATATATAACACCAGCCATCATCACTACATATAACACCATCCATCATCACTACATATAACACCACCCATCATCACTACATATAACAAAATCCATCATCACTACATATAACATCATCCATCATCACTACATATAACACCACCCATCATCACTACATATAACATCATCCATCATCACTACATATAACACCATCCATCATCACTACATATAACACCATCCATCATCACCACATATAACACCACCCATCATCACTACATATAACAACATCCATCATCACTACATATAACATCATCCATCATCACTACATATAACACTTCCGGGCGGTTCATCCGCTAGGCCAATGTAGGACGCCACCCTCCGGGAGGCTCCACATTGTCTCACTGTTCAGTCCCCAAAACTTCTTCTTCCATCAATAGTTCATTAACGGTGTATCTAAGTTCCACTAAAACGGTACAGCAAAGTATATTTTTTTAGTATTAAACTGTTATTATTTTATTGTCTAATCATCACTACATATAACACCACCCATCATCAATACATATAACATCATCCATCATCACTACATATAACATCATCCATCATCACTACATAAAACGCTTCCGGGCGGTTCATCCGCTAGGCCACGGTAGGACGCCACCCTCCGGGAGGCTCCACATTGTCTCACTCTTCAGTCCCCAAAACTTCTACTTCCATCAATAGCTCATTAACGGTGTATGTAAGTTCCACCATTAAACTGTTATTATTTTATTGTCTAATCATCACTACATATAACACCACCCATCATCACTACATATAACACCACCCATCATCACTACATATAACACTACCCATCATCACTACATATAACACCATCCATCATCACTACTTACAACAAAATCCATCATCCATCATCACTACATATAACACCATCCATCATCACTACATATAACACCATCCATCATCACTACATATAACACCATCCATCATCACCACATATAACACCACCCATCATCACTACATATAACACTACCCATCATCACTACATATAACACCATCCATCATCACTACATATAACATCATCCATCATCACTACATATAACACCATCCATCATCACTACATATAACACCATCCATCATCACCACATATAACACTACCCATCATCACTACATATAACATCATCCATCATCACTACATATAACATCATCCATCATCACTACATATAACACCATCCATCATCACTACATATAACACCACCCATCATCACTACATATAACACTACCCATCATCACTACATATAACACCATCCATCTTCACTACAGATCGGTAAAGTAGTTTCCGAGATTCTCGTGCGGACACACAAACACAGAAACAGACATACTTCTTTGTTTTATATAGATAGATTGTCTAATCATCACCACATGTAACAATATCCATCATCACTACATATAACACCATCCATCATCACTACATATAACACCATCCATCATCACTACATATAACACCACCCATCATCACTACATATAACACCACCCATCATCACTACATATAACACCATCAATCATCACTACATACATAACACCATCCATCATCACTACATATAACACCATCCATCATCACCATAACACCACCCATCATGACTACATATAACATCATCCATCATCACTACATATAACACCACTCCATCATCACTACATACTCTTTTCATCCATCATCACTACATATAACACCATCCATCATCACCACATATAACACCACTACATGACTACATATAACACCACCATCATCACTACATATAACACCATATCATCACCACATATAACACCATATCATCACTACATATAACATCATCCATCATCACTACATATAACACCATCCATCATCACTACATATAACACCATCCATCATCACCCATCTAACACCATATATCCTACATATAACATCATCCATCATCACTACATAACATCATCCATCATCACTACATATAACACCATCCATCATCACTACATATAACACCACCCATCATCACTACATATAACACTACCCATCATCACTACATATAACACCATCCATCTTCACTACAGATCGGTAAAGTAGTTTCCGAGATTCTCGTGCGGACACACAAACACAGAAACAGACATACTTCTTTGTTTTATATAGATAGATTGTCTAATCATCACCACATGTAACAATATCCATCATCACTACATATAACAACATCCATCATCACTACATATAACACTACCCATCATCACTACATATAACACTACCCATCATCACTACATATAACACCACCCATCATCACTACATATAACACTACCCATCATCACTACATATAACACCACCCATCATCACTACATATAACACCACCCATCATCACTACATATAACACCACCCATCATCACTACATATAACACCACCCATCATCACTACATATAACACCATCCATCATCACTACATATAACACCATCCATCATCTATATAACACCACCCATCATCACTATATACACACCATCCATCATCACTACATATAACACCATCCATCATCACCACATATAACACCATCCATCATCACCATAACACCATCCATCACATATAACATCATCCATCATCACTACATATAACACCATCCATCATCTCTACATATAACAACATCCATCATCACTACATATAACATCATCCATCATCACTACATATAACACCACCCATCATCACTACATATAACAACATCCATCATCACTACATATAACAACATCCATCATCACTACATATAACATCATCCATCATTACTACATATAACATCATCCATCATCACTACATATAACATCATCCATCATCACTACATATAACATCATCCATCATCACTACATATAACATCATCCATCATCACTACATATAACATCATCCATCATCACTACATATAACACCATCATTACCACTACTATCAACCAGTCTCTACCACCACCACTATCACCACAAACATGACACTACCACCGTCACCACCACCACTACATATAACACCATCCATCATCACAACATATAACACCATCCATCATCACTACACATATCACCACCCATCATCACTACATATAACAACATCCATCATCACTACATATAACACCACCCATCATCACTACACATAACAACATCCATCATCACTACATATAACACCATCCATCATCACTACATATACGACCATCCATCATCACTACATATAACACCATCCATCATCACTACATATAACACCATCCATCATCACTACATATAACACCATCCATCATCACTACATATAACACCATCCATCATCACTACATATAACATCATCCATCATCACTACAGATCGGTCTAGTAGTTTTCGAGATTCTCGTGCGGACATACACACAAACAAATAAACAAACAGACAGGCAGGCTTCTTTGTTTTATATATATATATATATATATATATATATATATATATATATATATATATATATATATATATATATATATATATATATATATATATATATATATATATATAGATTAAAGGGAGGGAAGGAGCAGCTCAGAAATAAGTATAATGAGCTATCTAGGAATGTTAAGAAAAATGCAAGAAAGCAAAGACGGACTTCGAAATCAGGATAGCAAGGGAATCCAAGGCGAAACCCAAGGGATTTTTCCAGGTATATAGGAGAGAGTCAGAGAGAGGGGAAGTGATCGATGACAGTGAGAAAATAAGCACTGCATTAAACAACTAATTCTTATCAGTTTTCACAGAAGAAATTCACGAGGAAATTCCAGAGGTGGAACTGATATTCAGGGGAAATGAAGAAGAGAAATTAAACAATATCACTATCAAAAAAGAGGATGTTCTTAAGAGGATAAATAAGTTAAAGAAGACAAAATCCCCAGGGCCGGATGAAATTTTCTCTCGAGTTTTGAAAGAGTAAATTTTTTACAAAATTATTTGACACTGGAGTTGTGCCAGACTTGTGGAAACAGTCAAATGTAGTACCCATATTCAAAAAGGGAGACAGAGCATCAGCGTCAAATTACCGGCCGATTAGTTTGACGTCAGTAGTGGGAAAATTTCTTGAATCAATTATTGCAAATAACATCCGATTGCATTTAGAGAAAAGCACATTAATCTACGACTCTCGACATGGGTTTATTGAGGGAAAATCTTGTCTAACAAATCTGCTGACGTTTTTTAGGAAAGTCTTCGAGGTAATAGACAGTGACGAAAATTACGATGTTATCTACTTATACTTTAGCAAAACGTTTGACAGAGTACCGCATCAGAGGCTTCTGAGAAGAGTTAAGGCTCACGGTATCGAGGGGAAAGTTTTAAATTGGATAAGATCGTGGCTCATCGATAGAACACAGAGGGTCAGCGTAGATGGTGCTAAATCTGAGTGGGGTTGTGTAACCAGTGGGGTTCCTCAGGGGTCAGTACTGGGCCGACTCTTGTTCATAATTTACATAAACGATCTAGATACTGGGATCAGCAGTGACATAAGCAAGTTTGCGGATGACACAAAAATAGGGCGGCAGATTAATTCAGGGCAGCATGCAAATGCACTACAGGAGGATTTAAATAAACTGCAGGCGTGGTCAGAGAAATGGCAAGTGAAATTCAACCAGCAAGTGCAGCGTACTTAAAATTGGAAGAACAAATCCTGTCAATGGATACAGCCTAAACAACATCAACCTAGAGAAGTCGACTTGTGAAGGAAACTTAGGGGTACTTGTAAGCCCGGACCTACAGCCAAGAAAACAGTGGGTTAATGTTCGAAATAAGGCAAACACAGTATTATGTTTTATATCTAGACGTGTAAGTAATAAGAGTGCAGAGATCTTATTGCAACTATATCTTGCGCTAGTCAGGCTGCACCTCGATATTGCTGTTCAGTTCTGGTGCCCTTATTATATTGTAGAATGGATATCAATTCACTGGAGTCGGTGCAGCGAAGAATGACGAAAATGATTCCGGCGAATTAGAAACCTTCCATATCAAGATAGATTAAAGAAACTAAACTTGTATTCCCTAGAAAGACGAAGAGTGAGGGGAGATATGATAGAAGTATTTAAGTGGGTGAAAGGAATCAATAAAGGGGATATAGATAAAGTTCTCATAATATCCGAGCAGGATAGGACTCATAGCAACTTATTTAAGTTGGATAAGTTTAGGTTTAGGAGGGAGATAGGAAGGAACTGGTTCACAAATAGGGTGGTGGACGAGTGGAACAAGCTTAGCAACTTTGTAGTAAGTGCTGGAACAATGGAAAGTTTTAAAAGGAGGCTAGATAGATTCATGGAAGATAGAGAGTGGTAGTAACTGGAGACAGGAGCTGCCATGCACAGGCCAACCGGCCTATTGCAGACTCCTTATGTTCTTATAACCAGGCTTTACATAAGTCAGCATCACCATAACCAAGCTTTACACAAGTCATCATGATCGGGCTCACCCTGTTGTTTAATGGATGTCCATCCGAACAGATCTATACTGCATCTTTCACCCCATCCTTCTTGATCTTCCCTACTCCTTCCGACCCCTGTCATCCAAGTCTGAACAATCCATCGTTTATATAAGTCTTTCATGTCCCATTTGCTTATCATGACGAAACCCTCGCTTAAGGAGACGTAATCCTTTATTTCCTAATCTCCCTATTTCTGTATCTTATTATCAACACCCCATTTTCTCCATATATTGTTCTAAATCAAATAATTCCCGTCTCTTACAATTAGCCCATTTCTCTTGCTTCTAGAGTCCATACTTCACAATTTGTCTATACATTCCCTTTTTTGTCTTCTTTGGCACGGTTCTCTCTCTCACATCTTTCAGTCTCCTGTTGCCTTCGTTTCGTCCTGTCCTTTCTTCCTTCCGCTAGTCTGTGATTCAGTTCACCATTCATCACTCTATGGACTCCCAGGTATCTGAATCACTCCACTTCTTCTCCTCGATTATCATTCAATCTAACATCTAATTATCCTCTACTTATTATCATCGCTCTTCTTCTGTTCATGTTCACTATCAACTTTGCCATAGTGCACGCACTTCCAGACTCATTCACTAATACTCGTAATCGCCCACAAGAGTAGTGTAATCTGCTGACTCACCTCCAAGTTACATTTTGGATCGTAATTTACCAAACTTTCTCTCGCCACATAGCCACCCTATAGAGCCGCTGTTTAAGACGTAGACTGTCCACCAGTGTAAGACAGGTACAATTACAGGTACAATTAAAAAATCGTAGTTGTCGCTGCTGACCACAATGAAGCTTTGAAAATGACTTAATTGTTGTTCTTTCATTTTTTATCGTAAATTACTATTTAATCTCGTTTTTCAACGAATAGCTTAAACTTACAATGTTACAGTTTAAAGGAATTTTTCCTAAATTTAAATGTATGGATAACGATATATATATATATATATATATATATATATATATATATATATATATATATATATATATATATATATATATATATATATATATATATATATATATATATATATATATATATAAGTGTGTGTGTGTATTAATTCATAGTTTACATTTATCATAACACACGTGTCATCTGGCAGATGTCCTGTGGACTACGAGATTCTGGGAGCGTTAGAGTACTCGTCATCCAAGACGACAGCCGCCGTGCGCTTCCAGGCCCATAAGTTCCCGTACACCTCGTCAGTGTACTACCAGTGCAACGTTAAACTGTGCATCAAGAATGCTGGAGGCTGCGATGATGTGGTGAGTGTTGCTTTATTTCATACTATGTCTGTAACTCTCATTAATGTTTCAATTACCTGGTGTTTTTTGCCAAAAGTATATATTACAAAACATTTTTTTCATATAACTTTTTGCTTGAAATGCAAAACATTGGGCTATTTGGTAACTCAGCAAAATTTATTTCACATCTTAGCAATGGATAAAGAATTTCAAGCAAGAATATAGACTTTAAATGTTACCTTCTCATATTTCCCTTAAATGCATCAATATACTCTATAGTCTACTCTCTCTATTAACTCACATTTGTACCTGTCAACTCAAATATATCTGCAACACAGCGCTTGCCACCTGTCAGCAGCCCAATGTATCAGTATTAAGCCCCCAGTTTCGCTAGATGTAAACCACTCTTTTTTTTATTAACCTGACCAGTTGAGATGTAAAGTAGTTAAATAGTGACTTTTCAAAAAGTCGTTTTGTTTTAAACAGTTGTTCCTCTAACTTAAGTACATTTTTCGAGAAAGTTTGTACTCAACATTTCAGCTTTTAGTTAATTAAATTTATGAATATTGAATAAGAAAATAAAAGCTATTTCATTTTCCACATACTAGTAAAGTACACGTGAAAATTTGAACACATGAGCATGTTTTAAGACTACCCGGGTGCATGCAGTTTACATTCTTCGCTGCACGACACAAAAATATTCTGCCCAGAGCTAAAATGAATCATTTAATGTCATATAATTTTTCCTATCATTGGGGGAAGTTTCGTAATATACGAAGATGTGAGATAATATTCGGTATAAGTCATAATTCGACGGACTTTAATTCGACAAGCTTGAAGACTTATGGGAGTGTTAGTGTATAATGTGAGATTCTTCTTTTTACTTTTACTACTTGAGTACAATTTAGGATTAGTACTTTTACTCTAACTTCAGTATATATTTTTTATGCGCCTCTACTCTCCAGCCTCTCTATATTTTACTTGTTTGAAACACCATCATACTGGTCTCCGTTCTTACTATTTTTGCAATGACAGGAAGGCCGGTGGAAGGTAAACTAAGGTAGGCTGGACAAGCACAGTGACTGGAAGAGGAAATGATGACTAGGAAACTGGATAAATGGATGGAGGGAAGGCGATGGGAAGGTTAGGAAGTTGGAGGAACTGAACGTGTAGATTGAAGAGAAAGTATTGTGCTAAGAGAAAGGCTGATTTTAATGGAAAAGTTATCTTAATTAATTTCTTATTCATTAAAACAAAATAAAATATACTCATACACGATATTAAGTTTTTCTGCGTCTTTATAGGAAACGAAGCTGCCAATTAGACGACGTCGTTCCTCCGGTACATATAGTTAATTATTGGGGAATCTACATCCCATTTCACCCATTAACTACAGTCTTCGCATCATTTTCTACCTTCCAGTTACCCATTCCAATCTTACCACTCAAATTTTATAAACTCCTGAGATCTTCCTTGTTACTCAACACACCTTAAGTACTCCACAGCTAAAAAGACATTACTTGATAACCTCTACCTGAGATACCATTAATATTACATTCCATTTTGTGGTCCCAAAAGTATCATTCTCCTTCACACCAAATTATTCGTCTTAAACTACATCACTTGAAGAACTTCCTTGGGTATCTCCTCTGGACCTACACCAAGGACGTGACTGTATGGATCTAATGAGGCTTTTGCTGGCCTTATAGCTCTCTGGGACATACTGGAAAGCCATCTCCCTCTCCCCACACTCTATACCTTAATTTACTTTCCACGCATCTGATGACATACCCTCCTTCCTTAGAAATCCCAAATCTGCTACTGTTAACACAATATTTCCGATTTTCGCGCTCTGAGTTTGTCATACATATCTTAGTGCTCTTATAGAAACTCTTCTCTTTTCATCAGTGTACCCCACTCTTCGTGCCCTTAACGGACGATAACCATGAGTTTTGTCCACTGTAACTTGCATTTTCCAAGGCTATGGAATATTACATTGTATAAACACAATGCCAACAAAACTAAATTTTACCAACCAAAACTAACCATACCACCCTAACCCAACCATGCCACCCTAACCTAACCATACCACCCTAACCTAACCTCAATAACCTTACCAGCCAAACTAACATAATCTAACCTAACCTAACTTTAACATACCAACCCAACTTTACTTAACCAAATCGAATCTAACCTTACCAGTCTAACCTAACCAACCTAACCTAACCAATTTAACAAACTAAGCCCAACCTTATCCGCCTAACTTAACTGACTTTAGCAACTGGACCTACAACCAAGTACAATGTGTGTATTGCTGTATATTCGTCCATCTGGGTAAGATAATAACTTTACCTGCCTATCATCTCTCATGCAGTACAACTTGTTCATAATAACTGTACACCCTATGTTCCCCCATACAGCCACCAGTGTGTGTGGAGGGCGTGAACTTAATCCGCCGTCGTCGCAGGGACGTGGCTGAGGTTGATGGCAATGGTGACCTGAAGGAAGTCGCTGCAGAGGTTGACGAGAACTTGACCATCGAAGTCTTCACTGGTCTCTATGTCAATGAGGACGAGGAAGTAAGTACTAGTTTAAGTCTTTAAGCTCACTATAAGTTGTATATCTACTGTTCTTGGGAAAGACTACTAAGTGAAGAGTTGAGTTTGAGAGGTCCAGCTGTATTCCCACAACAGGTGTAGACGCTTTCTGACGGACACATAGTGGTTGGGATTGAATATGATCAGCAACAATTCAAACTCACTTGGTAAAATGTAGTGCGAAACGGTAAATAAATGCTATATTAAAACATAAATAGAAATATTGAAAGTAAATGGAAAAGTAATTCTCAAGGTCATGATGCAAAACTTCCCAGTTTGGTGAAAGATACACAGTATTATAAGTTAGACCGTTGGTGGTGATCTTCAACACATCGCTCACAACACATAAATTACCGGAAGTAGAAAACTTCAAAGATAATAACATAATTCAGGAAAGAAAATAACAACTAGAGGCCTAAGAACTTCACATCCACCACCTATAAAACTATTGAATCCATCATAAGAGATCACACGCGGAATAATCAAGTAGAATGGCATTATGAGTGGTAAGTCCACTGAACTCCGACTGTTGAAAGTGCTGGATCCACAGACGGAGGTTATAAAGTGATGGGAGGCGTTAGATATGACATGGATTTCATGAAGGAGTTCGAAAAGGTTCCGCATGGGCGTCTGATTAGCGGAGGGAAATACAGTACACGGTGGATTACACCATCTCATCCATTCTGAAAGTTAAAACGCAGAATCAATATAAATGGATTCTGATCTAAGTGAGCTGCAGTGTAAAGTATACGGTATCCCTCAGGGAAATGATTTAAGGCCTACTCTCTTCATCATATACATTATTGATCTACCTAAAACCAGAAACATCACCAAATACTCATAAACACTATTCAAAAATAGTCGGACTCATGAGTACTCCAGTTTTATCCAGATAAATGTAAGGCGATGACTATTAAGAGGACAAGAGAAGGAAATCAATAATTATATTACATGTAGGAAAAAAATGATGAGATACAGAGAACAAAGAAGGAACTGGAGGGCTGGTTGAGAATAAAGTGACGTTTGAAAATCATATAAATAATGAGGTTAATAAAGCACCAGTTAGGTCTGACCCATCTATCGTTTAAATGTTTTGCTGATGAAAACATCACATGGTTTTACAAGTCCTTGTTAAGACCAAAGACTAAACAAACAGAAGTGTAGAGCAACCCAAGGTGGCCCTCCGAGGAGAGGACACCTGACGTGCGCTCGTTTTATGACTCCACTCAGTGGAAATGAGATGTTCTAAGCTTACACTAAAGGCCTAATTTTATGAAGTGGATGAGAAAAATATTTCTCCAAAATGAAGGCTCCAGTATCTTGGCAAAAACACAGTAGTTAACAAGCTAATTATCATTGACTCCTAAGATAAACAAGCAGTCTGCAGGTGATGTCTCCAATAAGAACAATTGACGTGTTATCTAATATACTATAGGACTAGCCGTGTGTCTGTCTGTTTGTCTGTCTGTGTGTGTGTCTGTTCTGGGCAGCCGAAACGGCACAATCGTTTTTCATCAAACTTGGTGGAAAAATCGCAAAAAATTCGTAGAATGGAACAAACCTGGTCCCATGTCGATGGTTTCTTTAGGAAGCCATTAATTAACCATTTTATTTATGCTGGAAAACGATGCAAGTCTACGGACTTGGCACACCCCCATTCGCTGTACGCTGTCAGCTCACGATTGCAGTTATCGTACGGCTCCCTCCTTCTCCCCCCACTTTTTTTCTTAGCCTACTTTTTTTTTAATGTTGTTTGGATTAGTAAAGGAAGGAAGATGAGTAAATAGAAGAATAAAGAAGGGGAAACAGAAAATAGTTAAGAGATAACAGGTGGGGGGAGCTGAGTTTCACCATGCGTGTGGATGCGCAGTTTCAACGTTACCAGAGATAACAGGTGGGGGGAGCTGAGTTTCACCATGCGTCTGGATGCGCAGTTTCAACGTTACCAGAGATAACAGGTGGGGGGAGCTGAGTTTCACCATGCGTCTGGATGCGCAGTTTCAACGTTACCAGACCATTTTCGGACCTTACAGCTACATTGTGTACAGTATATTTATTCCTGTGGCTGACTGTACATGGAAAAGGAGAAGAGAGAAAAAGATAATAACAGGAATGCATGGAGAAGATAGAAAGGGAAAAGAGAAGGAGAAGAAGAGAGACCGAAGCATTATTATCCTTAAGAGGCGAGGAAAGGAGATGGAAGAGAGGGATAGTGAGAAGTGGAGGTATGAATGGAGGGATGGAAGGACAGAATAAGAATGGTATAGAAGGATAGTAAAAAAGGACAGCGATAAGTAAAACAAAAATCAGAACAAGTATTTGGAAGATAACATGTAGAAATTAGTTGGTTAAATGTAGGTAAAAAGAGTAAGAATAATGAGATACAACATAAAGAAAGAGACACTTATTATAACAACCACGACCATGATTATAACACCCACGACCATGATTAAACAACCACAACTATGATTATAACACCCACGACTATGATTATAACAACCACGACCATGATTATAACAACCACGACCATGATTATCTCATATACTATAAGAATAGCTGTGTGTCTGTGTGTGTGTCTGTTCTGGGCAGCCGAAACGACACAATCGTTTTTCATCAAACTTGGTGGAAAAATCGCAAACAATTCGTAGAGTGGAACAAACCTGGTCCCACGTCGATGGTTTCTTTAGGAAGGAATTAATTAACCATTTTATTTACGCTGGAAAACGATGTCGCTGTACGCTGTCAGCCGGCCGGCGGTTGCGCACTAGCCAAGCATGAGCATTTGAACTTTCATGCTTTGGTAAACTGTACCACCGGACTCGCCACCGGGCACGAAGGACCCACGATCACTTGTATTTTCTAAATAATCATCGGTATGCCAAATTACTTTATAATATGATTCCCTCCAACAGTCAGCTTGAGTAACTTGTACACTTACCTCCACATCAGAGAGCAAGTTGCCAATCATTGACGTCATATTAGTACGTACAGTCGCCCACAGTTCCACCTGTTACAGTGGTTGGCACCTTTTGTGAGTTGTGGCAGATCTGTGTTTGTTTACATTTTAGTAAACTCCCGGAATGGCCCTAAGGAACCTCTCAAAAGTAGCCAGAAAGTAAGATTACTCGTGTTCAATCATGACCAAACATATCATAGGGACGTTAAATGTCACAGTTGACACTTTGTCCAGAAATAATCTGATGGCATGCGAATGTATGTTAGATTGAGACTAATTCTTTGGGATTTGTTTGGATTCTTTCTAATGTTTGATATTATTGCAGTGTTAGATAATCAACTCCCAGATTTTTATCACCTCTTCCCCAGTAAATCTCCGTGGTGGAGAAAGATTTTTCCTTGAATTTGAATACTTGAGCACAGATTTATGTTTCCTATTCTGCCTCGTTTGCTATAACAATTCCGAGGGATTTCTGTCTTGATATTTTGAGCAACAGGATTTAGTTTCCTCTCCTCATTCAACTTTGTCTTAAGCCTATTCAAATTCCTTCTTGGACTTCAAGCCAGAAGGTGGGGAAGGGTTTTACTTTCCGTCCACGTCCGCACTTTCGCAAATTTCCTTTATGAATTTTCAATGTCGGCCTTTTTACCTACTTTGGAAATTTTAGTTAGTTTCTCAGAGGTATTCCATACTTGTCTGTTTACTGCTAGAAGTAATAGTTTAGGGCTTTGGATTTTGATTCAAATCTGAGCGTTTGAACTGACCTCGTTTTTCCGTGCTTTCTTGTATTTATTGGCAAGGAACCTGTAGTATGCAGCTATTACCTTTCTTACAAAAAATCACACTGAATATCTAATGGGCTGTATCATCCCCAGTGAACAGTTCAGTGATACAGAGATGTGTGGTATAGAGAAGTTTCTAAGGTTAGGATTATTTTTTACATTAATTTCCTTAAGTTTTAATTGAATTGAAACAGTTTATTTAGCCAGAAAAATACAGATACAGAGTGGATAATAATAACAATATTAACATGGCTGAGCCAGTTGAGAACCGGAGCTCTCCTTGAGGCACCTGATATATACTATACCTTTATCTCAAGGAAGTATTATGTAAACATTTAGTATCATCTGGAATAGTACAATAGCATGGTGGTAATAAGAACATCTCATAATGTTACCACGGTTATCACTTCAATATTTATTTTTTTTATTTATTTATTATTTTTTTTTTTTTTTTTTTTTATTTACATACATATACACATATATATACATATATACATATATATACACATACACACACATACATACACATACACATATACATATAAATTACAGTGGAATTGAAAAACATAAGTATAATGGGGGAGCAGTACAACATGGGTTGTACAGTAATAAAGTTGAACAAGAGGACAGAGCTGTCAGGATTATGTCTAGTTGACAATTATGTTTATTGCAATGGTAATTACTTATTTATTTACATGATAATTTCCGATAAAACGGTACAATAAAATCGGGTACTGTAAATATAGTAAGTGTTACAAGAAATATTAATGCTTCGACAATAGATATTTTTTAAGAGATGATTTAAAGGAAGGGAGCGTAGTCTTTGCTCGGATGTGTGGGGGTAAGTTGTTCCACACCTTCACACCATGATATTTTATGGAGGTCTGGGATTGAGAGGAGCACATGGGGGTGGTCTTAGTAGCTCTGGGTGCCTTAAGTTGTATCTCTGATTATTCCGGAACTGGAAATAATTACTGTCAAGCAAGTGATTGATAGATTTGTAAACAAAGAGGGCACAGCAGTAGGTGTTAATATCTTCGAATTTTAAAAATTTCAATATAGCAAATTTTTCTGTTGTGTAATCTGGTTTTTTTTTCAAGTAGGTCATTGTCCGTACAACTTTCTTTTGTGCAGTAACCAGATATTGTGTTTTTGAAGAGCCAGAGGCCCCCCATAGTGTGTGACAGTGTATTAGGTGTTGGTAAACAAGATCATGATAGATTTCTTTCATTGCTGTGAGAGTGAGTGACTGTCGAGTGTGATACATGATACCGCTCTGTTTATTGATTTTACTGTGAATGGCTTTTATGTGGTTTCTCCAGTTAAGTTTCGCATAAACAATAACTCCGAGGAATTTAGTATTTTGTTCGCGTTTGAGGACTATATTACCAAGGTACAGGGGGTCCAAGTCTGGGGGTAAGTTTTTCCTTTTGTGAAAGATCGTGTAGTGGGTTTTCTCAACGTTTAAGGTCAGTTTATTATGTATTACCCAGGTCCCGACTTTAGTTAATTCAGTGTTCATAGTTCTCATCAAGGAATGGAGGTCTGAGTTGCTGGCATAGAGATTACTATCGTCTGCAAATAAGTTGTATTTTATGAGTGAGCTGGCGTGGACTATGTCGTTTATGTACAACAAAAACAGTACCGGACCGAGAATGGAACCATGGGGGACTCCATTCAAGATTGGCGAGGAGTCAGATTGGTGGTTATTATAGCAGACATACTGCAGTTGGGATGTTAGATAAGTGGCACCTCCCATTTTCTGACTGTCTTCATTTACTCAAGTTGCCTGGTAGAGGGTAGAGGGCAGAGGGCTATTAATGGAGAATATATCCTGAAATCACATTTTTATAGCTAAGCCCGCAGCCTGGCAGCTTGGATACCATCCCTCCTCAAATGGGTCGTGGGAAGCAGACTAGGAAATTAGGACTAAATCTAGATCCAAGATGGCCGACACGTAACAGCCTGGCAGTCTAATCTCTTTGATGGCAATCTTTATTACTAGTGCTTTCTTATAAGAGACGATGGTTGTGATGGGGAGGTAGGAAAACGCTTTGTATTGATCCCAGGGTAGGTCTAGACAGGGGATACTACCCAGCCAGTAATGTTTAGGCTCATTTGAGTCTATGACCTGTCAGGCTTTGTGTACATTATACTAAAGCCAGCTGGCTGTGGGCCTAGCTATAAAATGAGATATAAGGATAAATTTTCAATTTTTTCCCATATAAGAAAATCCTTGTCATAAAATATTGCTGTTTGGTATCCAAACTTACAAACTAAATATTTGTATTCTTTATTTTAGCTTCCAGAACCTGAAGGTGCCTCTGAAACTCTTACCCCTGTGAAGGAAGAGGTGGTGGAGGACCCCAACACCTTCTGTCTCTCTCCCAAGACCTTTGCCATTGGCATCGCTATTGCAGGTCTCATACTGATGATAGCAGTTATTGCCTCCATTCTTATCCTCATCTCCCGTCGTCGAAGGAGGAAGGAAGACTCTACCACCGGTTCCTCCATATACTCCAGTCCATACACCAATACAGCTTACAGTCAGTCATCCTAATACATAGGTTCAAGGTACATGTAGTAAGTGTGCTAGAAAACCTAAAGTGCTGTGAACTCCACGAATGAAATGTCTATCTAATCCACTTCATAGCAAAAGAAGTTATGCAAATCAATTGAATACAGCTTCTTTAAAGTTACTGAACATAAGTTAATCACCGGTTATGAATTTTACCTCTTTCCAAATTAACATGGGAGTAAAATCTAACGAAGGTGTAGACAGAGACGCAGATGCTAACACTGACGCAGACGGTGAGGGTATTGGAATATTACTTCTCTACTAAAGATGAGAAAAAAGAATATATACTATCCAACGACTCTGACTTGACATAAGTTGGAAAAGACGATCGATAGTTGTAAAGTGACTACTATTCTACGAGAGGGTACAAGTTTTTAAAGAGAATTAGGAAAACCTAAGTTTATTTTTAAGTTCAAAATGACGGGGTAACTGAAGAATCAGATACAGTACTTAAAATATAACTAATGTGATGCAGGAAAGATTGGTGTTACGTATACCATATATTGTTGATGTAGTTACAGACTTTTGTACCATAATGCAATAATGATGAATGGTGCTCCGGGATGAATTGTTCATGAAAAGAGAAAGATGCGTAATTAATTAATAACAGCTTTATGGCAATTTACACAACAGGAGATATACTTAATACATAATTAGATATTAAATGCTTCTGTGTTTAATCTGTGCTCTAAACTAGCTGACATATTGTAAGTTTAGAGGAGTTTCTGGTAAAGTTTACTAACTGGTTGTGACATTGGTGTCTGAGAGGATGAGGGGAAACTGGTTCACGTAACAGAGATATTATGCCCGAGAAGTCAGTGAATGGTGTTACTCTTATGCAAAATTGAAAACAAAACATTACCTATAATAAACCGCTTGTGTTAATGAAACTTCCTTAAAAATTTTCATTAGTTATTTTTACACTACATTAGCTTCAGTAAATATTGCACAACAGGGAATTTTTCTTCAACAAGTTAAAGGTATTTTTGCAAAAACACTACATGCAATAAACGTAAGAATTATTTTGCAAAATGAATAGTTTTCACTGACTTCTTTGAGTTTTACTCAATACTCAAGGTCTTGCCCCAAGAACATAAAATGGTGATTGAATTACCAGTCAACAAGGGAAACCAGTAATTCAAATCTGTCAAAGGAAATGGCTAAGCTTATTTGAGTAATCCAATAAGCTGAGTCATGTGAATGGGGTCTCTGTTTCTCACCCAACGTCTCCCCTCTCTTCTTGCTTGTCTTATCAAACACCCATAATTTTTTCTACTTCGTGTATAGAATAAGGGCAACTGCGGCAGAAGTGACTTACGATGCAATAATGATTTGTGTGTTTTACTCGTGTTACACTACCACAAATGTTGGTTTATAATACTGTAGCCTTCACTGAAACCAGTGAAGTAGACCGTTTCCCCATTGTCAGACTGTAAGCTATTGTTAACAAATTTAAAAATCTTCAAAGAGTAGGGTGATATTTGTGGGTTTTATTGCCTCTTTGGGGTGTATGTTTCCAATGAATTTTTTAACTGAAATCATATGAACTGCTCATGCCTCCAGCCTGGTACAGAAATTTAGATTGCAACACAGATAGGCAGTTGCTTACAGTCTTATAATTAGATAATTCAGACGGGATACGGATATCATGAAAGGAATCTGTGATAACAGTGCTGTATAGTGCAGCCACTCTACACCTATGACCAACTGGGATCTATCAGATTATTATGAAATATATAAAATGGAATTTGGTCTTTATGATTAATCAGTAAATGAGCAGTTGAGAAATTAGTCCACTGACAACCTTATGGATATTCTAACATTGTGGATGTTTGTGCATTCTACAGTAGTAAGGAAAGATTGCCAGTATAGGTATTTCATGATATCCGTATCCTCACTATAGTGTAGCTATAGTTTAGTGCCATAAGCCATGTGCTTACTTATGATACTTCAGCATTGAGAAAACATGTTAAATTTTATGTTGTATCCATTTTAAGATTATTGTGACAACACATTGACAACAGGTACAAAATCAGTGTTGACTTAAACGGGATAAATGATAACTTAACGAGCCGCCTTCAGATATAGATGATATTTCTTTGGGGAAGGAAGGGAAGGGGAAGTGGTTTTATATCTACTACCTGTACTGAATTTTGAGGTCTTTTTACTGTTTTAAATCACTAATAATTAGATAAATATCGCGATTCTGAAGGTTTTCTCTAAATAAACAAGATGTGATTTGACACTTTGTTACAACTTTTTGTAAAATGTAGTCATCTGTTGCAAGCAATATACTATAGCATAGCATAGTATATAGGGGAACGGTCTGAAATATATTGTGATAAAGATTTCTCTCTAAAAAAAATAACTCTTTTGCATATTGTAAAAATTTGTGACACGACTACAGCGTAACTAAATAATAATAATTTTCGTTTTGTTTCAGTGTAAACAATACTTTTTTTTAAGCATTTTTGTGTGTGTGAGTATGACACTGTAGTCTTTATACTGTAGCTTTTTATACCAAATGTGAAAAACTACATTCTAAATGACATTAAAACAGCTCAACCTTTAATGGATAAAGACTGCATTTGCACGTGTTCAATGAATGTCATTTAGCATATAGTTTTCTTTAAACATTTTTAACTTATGGTTGACAGCCCATGGGGCAGCTATTAATCATTTAAGGTTTATTAGATTTAGCATAATAAACACACTTTCTACAACTTTACATAGACACTGGTTTACATTTGCATTGTGTCTGTCTTGTTCAAACTTCGTAAGACAGCAGTGTATAGATGTATAGTTTACTTTTGCTTTGCCTTCCAGTGATGTATTAATACAATGCATTTCTAAATCTTTGTCTAGTATAAGACAGTTGTGTGAACAATTGCCAAATAATCATGAGCATTGTGTATTAACCAAATCATCATGATTTCAAATATTAGCACTCTAGTTCACTACCGTAATGTTGTGTCACGTCTTTATATTCAAGTATTGATGATACTTGCTCGGTGTCTTCAAATACAATGAAACTGGATTTCAGTAATTTAAAATCTACTTGATTTTATATTGCAAAATTGCAGCCATAAGGTTAAAGCATGCCTTTGTGGTTGGGGTGCCGGGTACACTATATTTCATGTACTTGGCCACAAGGACAAGCTTCTTAAATGAGTAAGTGAACAGGGTGGCAGTGGTAATGCAGTTCCCTCTCTGCAAATCTGGATTTTGAACTCACTTTGAGCAATTTCCACTGACATGCACAGGCGTCGATTAACTCGACTTTCTAACACAGTGGCATATATATTCAGTGCTTCTCTTAGTAAATGAATATACAGGTACAATTATTTATTAACAAGTAAAAGTAAAAATTATATAAAAGCAACTTTAGGCTTGAAACTTGTGATGCTGAGTTTACTTAAAGTATTGCAAGATATTATATCGTCTTATGGCCAAATGTGTTTGAAAAGATTCATTTTGATTCAAAGTGTCAATTTCTGAAGTGAAAGAAGTGTACATAGCTGACTTAATGGTGCAATATGAGTATGGTGCCACGAAATTTGAGACCATTCACGTATTGTGCCATGTAAGTATGGCATCATGTACTTGTATGTACAATACTGTAAGAATGACACTATTTGTCCTAGATGAGCCACTGTGAGCTCCTTGTATCTACTCTTGTGCGCTAAGCGGGTTGGTGATGGGTCTGTAGTTTCTCCACCGGGGACACCAAATAAATGCAATCAATTGTTCCAACTTGTTTTATTTCTTCCAGATGGATCGTGATGAATAATTAATTCTGGAAACACTGTATACAAACATAATAGAACATAATATGTTGATGTCCTTAGTATTTTTTGCTGTAATAGAGGAAAAGTTTGCATCTGAAGATTGCTTTTATTGTAATCTATAAAAAAATAACCAATTTGGGGTCGCAAGATTTTTTTTTTTTTTTTTTATTGGGCACCCCCCTACATCCTGTGCAAGGTGAAGCACAAAAGCGTTTTACAGCGCCCAGCAGGGAAGCATGCTAAGTTCATGTCTCATGAGTTAAGGGCGTAGAAGCCTGAAGAGTCAAGGGCGTAGAATCCTGAAGAGCCGATGGTTTATGTCATAAAGTTATTGGAAGCTCCAACAAGTTTCCCTGAATACGAATTCGCAACTTTCGATGTCCTTCTGAAGCATACCCTGTTTTAATTATATTCTAAACCATGAATTAGCTTTGGGAACCATGTCCTTCTTTTGACAACACTTATTACTTTCAACAGCAGCCTGCCACCACCTAGACTTTTATTAGAATTTAACATATCTCATGGAACTGTTAGGTAGCATGTTCCTGCTCCTCAACTGTGTTTTCTGTAAATAACTCCAACCAGAATTTTCACATCCTCACATTTAGTCCAGCACCGTAATGCATCCTTCACTCCTCTGTTATTAAGTTCTTCACATTCTTCTAATAGTAGTTTATGTTTAAAATATGTGATTACTCCACTTCTTATTTCCTGAGCATTTATATAAGATTTATATATATATATATATATATATATATATATATATATATATATATATATATATATATATATATATATATATATATATATATATATATATATATATATATATCCTGGAATTCTAGTGGTGATTCAGTCCTGTATCCAAGTTTCAGATACAAAAATTATATTTGGATTTGCATTACTTCCTCTAACCTTCAGCTCATCACATACTAGCGATTCTACATTTGTGTACTGTACATCTCAAGTTATCAACTATTTTAGGAAAGTCTTCGAGGTAGTAGATAATGACGAAAATTACGATCAGATTCAGATTTGCCCCCGAGGGGGCTAGTTTATTGGGCACCCCCTTACATCCTGTGCAAGGTGAAGCGCAGAAGCGTTTACAGCGCCCAACAGGGAAGTATGAAAAGTTCATACTTGCCTTTATGACTCGTACATTAAGGGCGTAAAAGCCTGAAGGATCATAGGTTTTGTCAAGTTACATAAAGTGAGAGAATGATGAGTGTGTGGGGGGAAAGTTCCCGGTACACTTCATCTGTTTATGGCAAAGAGTGGCAGGTCCCTAATAATGTCAAATGCCAGGCCTGTGACTAGGAGGAGGGATATCTGGTCTGGGAGGGAAGAGGTGTTGGTAACGGCTGGGGACCTGTAGGAGGAGGTCATAGGGCAAGTGAGGATGTAGTGAGAGAGGATGTGAGAGTCGGGTTGGCCACAAAGTTTACAAACAGTGCGGTGAGGCTCAGGGTTGCCAATGTACTCCCATAGGTACCTGTACCCTAGGCGCAGTCTCATGTGTATAATCTGTTGAGATCGAGTCAGGGATTGATATTCTTTGTAGTGGCGGTTGTCGTCAGAAAATTACGATGATATTTACTTAGACTTTAGCAAAGCATTTGACAGAGTACTGCATCAGAGGCTTCTACATAAACGATCTACATACTGGGATCAGCAGTGACATTAGCAAGTTTGCGGATGACACCAAAATAGGGCGGCAGATTAATTCAGGGCAGGATGCAAATGCACTACAGGAGGATTTAAATAAACTGCAGGGGTGGTCTGAAAATGGCAAGTGAAATTCAACACCAGCAAGTGCAGTATACTTAATATTGGAAGAACAAATACTGTCAATGTATACAGCCTTAACAACATCAACCTAGAGAAGTCGACTTGTGAAAGAGACTTACGGGTACTTGTAAGCCCGGACCTACGGCCTAGAAAACAGTGCGTTAATGTTCGAAATAAGGCAAACAGAGTATTAGGTTTTATATCTAGAAGTGTAAGTAATAAGAGTGCAGAGGTCTTATTGCAACTATATCTTGCGCTAGTCAGGCCGCACCTCGATTATGCTGTTCAGTTCTGGTGCCCTTATTATACGGTAGAATGGAGTCGGTGCAGCGCAGAATGACGAAAATGTTTCTGGGACTTAGAAACCATCCATATCAAGATAGGTTAAAGAAACTTAACTTGCATTCCCTAGAAAGACGAAGAGTGAGGGGAGATATGATAGAAGTATTTAAGTGGGTGAAAGGAATCAATAGAGGGGATATAGATAAAGTTCTTATAATATCCGAGCAGGATAGGACTCGTAGCAACGGATTTAAGTTGGATAAGTTTAGGTTTAGGGGGGAGATAGGAAGGAACTGGTTCACAAATAGGGTGGTGGACGAGTGGAACAAGCTTAGCAACTTTGTAGTAAGTGCTGGAACGCTGGAAAGCTTTAAAAGGAGGCTAGATAGATTCATGGATGATAGAGAGTGGTAGTAACTCTCGACAGGAGCTGCCATGCACAGCCCAACCGGCCTATTGCAGACTCCTTATTTTCTTATGTTCTAATGTTCTTATGAAGCTAGGTTTATTTACTGCATATTTAATCTCAAATCTGGGTTTGAATTAAAAAAAATTCTCCTTTGCACTTTGCATACACTTTTAAAACTGTCAGTTTTACTTTTGTGACTATTTATGTTATTTTCATATAAACATTTCTTTGTTCCTCCAACATTGTTCATAAAATGTTTGGTTTCCCCCTCGGACTGCCCCTCCTCCTGTTGCATGCACCATATTGTTCATCTCTGATATAATTTCCTCTTTTCAATATTTTACCACAACTTATATAGAGATTTGTTTCACCAGCATTCATTCTAGGTAGCTTTCATTTCTTTATATACTTTTTGTCTATCCTTTCTTTGTTTCTTCGTAAAATATCCAAATATATATATATATATATATATATATATATATATATATATATATATATATATATATATATATATATATATATATATATATATATATATATATATATATATTCTTCATCTATTCACAATGGGAGAGGTGCAGTTTTTTGGATCCAAACAGTACACGTTTCTTCACTGTCTTTGAACCTAATACAGTGGGGGAATATTTTGGCATTCCACTGTTAGTGAACCCTTCTGATTTGGCCAATCTTATAATCCTCAACTATTTGTAGTTCGTCATTAATATCCTTAAGTTCTTTAGGTTAATATACTGTATAGGATTAACCCACGGATGAGTTATTTTTATTATTTTTTATTTTCTTAATTTATTTTTATTAGTGAGTTCTGATAATGTAATCATTTCTTGCGCAAATGTCTCTTTTGTAGATAACTAGGCACCTAGGAGCGCACTAATTTGTCTTCCCAGTGGTAAAGAGGCCGCGCTTTGCTGCAGTGCTCCCGGCAGTTTCATTTTCAGCTTAACGTGTGAAGGTTGTCGCCGGTTTTATTTCTTTATTTTTTTTTATGGGGATTAGCCCACTCAGGCACAGATCACTGACCCACATCGGGGCCTGGGGGCGAAAATGTATTAATAATAAGAATAATAATAATAATAATAATAATAATAATAATAATAATAATAATAATAATAATAATAATAATAACAATAATAATAAAGAAATACAAAAATTAAAAACTTCAATAGTGAGAAACAATATATATATATATATATATATATATATATATATATATATATATATATATATATATATATATATATATATATATATATATATATATATATATATATATATATATATATACAAAGAAATGACTGCAGATAGTGTGTTAGCTTATGAGTTAGTGAGTGTAGGCGCAGGAGGCGGGAGGGGGTGTGCACAGGGTTGCCAGATGGCCGTTCCCACGGCCAAATTTCTCTAATTAGGCAGTAAAAAACTTCGCCTGGCCATGAAAAAATGGATGGTCACGGCCAAACTATTTGGCCGAATTTTGTAAAACACGTATTAATTCCTCATCTAGTGGATTTTGAAGAAAAATCTAGCAGATTTTCAAATTTCACAATGAAAATACTGGCTCAGTGACCTGACATTGTCACGACCTCACCTAATCAGTGACCTCACCTTTTCACATGTTTACGTGACCTACTGAGCTGACTGATCCTTCTAGTTACTTTTATATATATGTATGTTTATATGCTGCCTTTATTGATTATATATATATTATATATTATGTTACTTCTTACCAAAGTCAGAAAGTGTTTAGGCTTGTGTAAACACGAAATGTGTTAGGCACGTTGTAACCAAGAACAGAGAATAAACGCCCAGCCAGACTGACAGTGTGCTCGTCATTCTCCCATTAAATAACGCAAGATACTACACTGGCGACGAGGATGGGATTCACAAAGTGTTGGTGAAGTCCTTGAAGAGAGGATGGTGACCACTGAAGGGAAGGCTACTCTGAACCTGGAGAATTTAAGTGAAGAGAGCAACCATGGCTGGCGTCAGTGGATACATCTGACGAGTGGGGGAGTATGATGCAGACAAGGAGAACTTCACATCATATTGTGAGAGAAATGGACTTCTTCTTTCCTGGCAAATGAATTTATGGACGACGGTGGAGATGGTCAGAAGAAGGCCCTTGAAGAGAAAAGGAAAGCAATCTTTTTGACAGAGGTAGGAGCTAATGTTTATTCTACTCTGGTCAATCTGCTTGCTCCAGACAAACCAAAAGACTCCTCACTGATTCAGATTACCAAAATTCTGAAGCAACATTTTGATCCTGCTCTACTTGAGATCGCTGAAAGTTACAAATTTGGCACAAGAGATAGAGGCAAAGATGAATCAGTAAGTGATTATATAGTAGCTTTGAAGAAGTTATCCATTCACTGTAACTTTGGACAGTTCTTGAACCGAGCTCTAAGAGACAGGTTTGTGATAGGTCTGAATTATGAAAAAATACAAAATAAGTTAATGAACACCACTA